CCCCAAAACCCCAAAACCCCAAAACCCCAAAACCCCAATTTTGAGAAGATAATTGAATGATTTATATTAAAGAAATAGAGAAGCTTATAATCTTACTAGCTCAACTCTACAAATTCTATGCTTGTTTGACTCAAGCTTTTCCACTGTCCTGATGGATTTTCAAGGCTGACATTTAAGAACATTTGCTCTTATTACAGCATCCCTCTCGATAATGTTCTGAGGCTTTTACAGTTTTGGCAGATTGCATATTCTTTCATATAAGCCTTTTATCGCATTTTCGAACTGTTTTTGAGTGTGCCTATCCTTTATAACCAATCTTTTCTTTTTCTTTAAAAAACCTGATAGTTTGAATTCTGTCTTGATGAAGATCTTGAAATGATTTATCTCGATTCATTAATCAAACTATTTTCTCAAAATTATACCAATAGATCTTTCTAGTTCTAAAAAGTGTTATAAGAGGTGTAGGAAGTATTAAGGCATTATCTTTACTAATATCCACATTGTCATTCTCCATTTTATCATATATTATCTGTAACAGTTTTCTAAATCGCCTTAATCCTGACTCTAAATATATTCATATTTCGCCACATCATCTGCCCAGTGTTTTGGCTGGTGTTTATCTAAACTCATCGGTTTCTTAATTTCTTTTCCTTCTATATCGGACTTTACGCATAAAGTAGGTTCCAAGAGCAAGTATAACTCCTTTGGGAACATTTTGGGTTAACAAATTTTGAATTTTACGAAAGGAATTAGAAGTAGAGCGTCATTCCTTAATACTACTGATGGAGGTAAATGAGACCTATAGTTTGATAAGTTTGACGTATATGGTGTGGAATTACGATGCTTTAGTTTTTGGAAGAGTGGAATAGTATCAAAGAGCTTGGAATTGTTTCTGACTGATTGAAAAGAACATTCACATCTTCGGAAAAAGACTCAAATTTGTATAAATTATAGCTCCTTTGCTAATTTCTATGAATATTTTTCTCAAACTAACTTCGGTGACAATTAGAAGCCATTAATAATCTTTAAAATAAAGATAGAAGATATAAACCTATTAAATGTATTCTCAAATTCATGATCTTTTGAGGGGTTTTGGGGTTTTGGGGTTTTGGGGTTTTGGGG